CAGTCACGAGGGCCTGGGCAAGATCATGAAAGAGTTGAATGGGGATCACCTAACAAAGATCACCCGACCGCCAGCAGATCTGTAAAAGAGATATTGGATAGGGTGTTGTATTTCTCTGCCCAGAGTATGTATTATAAGTCGTAGACTTCGACTGATTATGGAAGCGTACAATGCAGTACGAGCTCTGTCATCCAAGAGTGTGCAACACGTTTAACCTTAATAAAGCTCTTAGCGGGTTCAAGGCTTCCACCCTCCAGTACGTGACCTAAATAGACCTGCCGGATCCACCGCATCTGCAACCCTCTTCGCCAACGCCCTGCTCTCAGGCCTCAATCTCCCAAAGTAATCTTGCCGAAAGAACCCATAGTTCATAAAGACAGGCAAATACGCTTCCGGTAGCTTACCCTCTGCTTGCCATGTCAGGACCCTGTTCCTCACGCCAGAATAAGTTGCTTCCATCGTGTCAGCCATCTGCTCATATAACGACTGCGGCGTGAAGGCATAGTTCATCTCGATGATAATGCGATCAACATCTGCATCAGCATCGATCAGATCAGGGCTTAGTTCCCGGGCCTTTTGCGCAATCTTCTTTGGGAACGGCTGCCATGCGATAGACGCCACGATTCCGGGTACGAGTAGTGTGGTTTCAGAGACGTCGCGCCAGTGCTTGTGCAGACCTTCCATAACCTCGACAGCATTGGCGCGGGAAGGTAAGGGTATTGTTTCTGTGGCGATGTCCACGACGTTGCCTTTGATTACAACCCAGTTGCTCAGGGCCATGAGATCGGCGTAGGTGCGAGTTCGAGTCGTGTCAAGTAAGGGATTGACGTCAGTGAAATTGTCGAAAAGTCCGGCTGGAGGCGTTGGGCCATCATAGAATAGGAAGATGATCCAAGAGTCGACTACGTTGAGATTCGCTCGCTCCGCCGTGACTATGACCGCAGCCTTCTCATCCTCGTTGTACTCTGTCCAGTCACGAACTGCTTGAAGTAGCTGCTTGTCCTTGCTCGGCGTGCGAAGAAACACCAGGTTGCCGCCCCAGATGTCGCCTTGTCGGTGAGCCTGCAACCTATAGTTTGTTACGACGCCAAAGTTGTTACCACCTCCCTTGAGCGCGACGAATAGGTCGGGGTAATTATCGTTCCGGATGTGGCCGATAGTGCCGTTGGCGAAGACAATTTCGTACTCGAGGACACTTGACGCAGCCCATCCGTACTGCGTCGACATATAGCTAAGCCCTCCACCCAGTACTAGTCCGCCGACTCCAGTGTTGCCAATGCGCCCGCCGACAAACGTCCAGCCCGTGCCTTGGAGCTTAGCAGCAATGCCATCAAGCCGGTTACCAGGACCTACGTCGACGATACCTGTGCTGCGGTCGAGATCGGCTTGATCAAAATGCTCCATGGCAATGAGTGGGCCCCCGGCTACGCTACTCCATCCATTGTTGGGATTGTGGCCACCAGATTTGACGGCGAAGCGTTCAGTGGTGTTGGCGAGAATTTGCACTACGGTCGAGACTTCTTCCACCGTCCTCGGGAAGATGATGCAAGATGGGAGGAGAGCAGAGCACGAAGTAGACCAATACTGGGTTTGTTCTTCAATGTAGGCCAGGTTGAGGGGGTATGTGACGGTGATGTAACCGAGAGAAGCGACTGATGAACAGGTATCGCCGCGGGCCAAAGCTGGCAAAGTGAACGCGAGAACAAGTTGAACAAAAAAGCCCCACATCTTGAACTCAGGATTGAAGACGGTGAAGCAATGGCGTTGAAGTTGTTGCGAGTCGCATCCCGATTTATACTCAGCGTTAGAAGCTTATAGCTGTCAATGACGTGGTTCGCGATGGCTCGAGCATGGTGTAAAAGGATGCATGTGGAGTGATACATGTGCGTTTAATCACCGTCGAGCACGAATGATACGTCGCTTTTGTCGTATGAATGAGCGCAGGCCCTATAGGAGTCGATCATTGTCAAGACGGCTATGCCAATGTCTTCTCAAAATAGCATGTAGCGTCGCTTACTCACAGGTGGTCTGGCATTTGAAAACAAAGTTTGTATTGCGCTACCTTCAGTGCATGGTATTGCATGCTGTCGCCGAAGCATTCCCTGGTAATCTCTCCCAAGCTTCGTACCCAACCGGTTCCCTATTGGTGCATACTAGCAACGGTGAATGCCGAGACTTCACCTCCTCCTTCATCCTGTGGAAGAGGCTTCGAGCCAAGCAATAGAGTATGGATTGTCGCTCCAACCATATGCCCCGACTGACGAGAATGACAACGCTTGGTAGCTCGTGATCGATAATTTGGGGTCTGATCTGTAAGTCTACAGATACTGCTAAACAATATTTGGAGTAAGGAGGGTCGCGTGAGGAATGTGGCGGTCTTGGTGACTCGTTTTTGTAGCTTGTCTGTATAGGCTGAATGGGTACGAGCTCGGTTGGCCAAGGGCTGACACACCTGAGGGGTGCACCCGCTGCAGCTGCAAGCCCCAATACGAACATTAGAGTAGCCCAGAGCCGATTTCGGTACCTGCATTAATTAGCGTAGTATTAGCCGTCTAAGACAGAAGACTTATCGAAAAAAGAGTTGGCCATCCCGAAGGACGGCCGTTGAACCACCCACGATGACGCCATGCCACGCTCCCCCATTTTCACACCAATCGCATCTCCAAGACCGACGTCGGTGAACACGTAGTAATGCATCCAGGGCATAAGCCAAGAGACCGTAGCGAAGACAGGTGGTGATATGACCGCGAAGAATATTTGAATGGAAGAATGAAGAGCCTGCAGAAACTTGTCGCAGGAAATGTTGACAGACAGGTCTAGACCTTGAGCCTCACTCTTGAGAGGTCCCATCTCCATTCTCTGGTTCTGAAAGCACTGCGTTATGGCTTTCACTGTCCACCAATATGCTGTCGGCGGGTTCCAGACTCTCATGCTCAGCTCTCTTGTTGTATGGCCAAGCTAAAGAATGCAAACCCATGACTCCGAGGTTGTAGGTCCTCTCAATGCGATCGTGTCTCCATAGAAGGCGCCGTCGCAACTCCAACACTACCATCTCTTCCCATTGCTGCAAGACCATCGTCTCCGTGCTCCAGCTTGCGTAAACAACATGGTCCTAGTCAGCTTGGCACAACAGACACGCAACACTCACCAATGGACACAATCATCATGGGTTGTTAAGCCAAGATGCTTCTCTCTGTGCGTAGTGACAAGACTTCCTGAGACTAGTCTTTGTTTCCGCTCCGCTCTCTTGAGAAACGAAGGGCATGATGTTACGGACAAAGGACATCCTCAAAAGCCGCATTGACGATCGCAACAGAAATAGAACTGCTCGATCGGATGGGTAGACGCTCGCCGATTCATACGTATGCTGAACATACGTGTTGGCGACTAACGCGACTGGTCAGATATCACTCTAGAGTGACTGGTGTCGAGTGGTAATACTGTGACACCGGCTTCGTAACGTAGTAGATGACGGAGGAGGTTGGAGATCTGATGGGGACTTTCGTTCCTGTGGGCGAGGTGCACGGGTACTTCGTCGCCATACATAAGTCCGGCTCGAACAGATTGCCATGCAGTACAAACGCCACGTACTTGATCCGACACATGTAGACACAGCAGACTTTTCGTGTGTCAAACGTCAGGACATCAGATCCGGAGCGTGACGGCCCGCCGTAGTTGACAACACCAACCTGCGACGTATCGAGACCTCGCTAGGCTTTCGCCTTTCCGACGAGTGGATCTCACGCCAGCCGAAGCCGAACAAGTTGATGTGTCTGTATGTCTGGCTTGATCAATGTCAAGGCCGCGCTCTTCTTCTGTCCCGTTGCTGTAGGCATGACGTCTGCTGGTAACATGGTGGTGGTTGGCATCAGGTATTGCAGCTCCTGTATGGCTCTCGGAATCGAGGGGACTGTGGTTTAGGCGCGATGATGAAACCCAAAGTCGATCCTCTAGTGAGGCGACCGGCATCTGACTTCAGAGCTCTCCTCTTCGCCTCGTCGCATTCGTCGTGAAGCTATTTTTCGTGACCAGAGTCTGTTGTACAGATGGGATGCCGACGTGGTCCTCGTGTGAGAACTTTAATACCCCGACAGGCACATGTCATCCCAATTTGAGCTCCCGCTCCCGTACCTCGAGTCTTCCTTTTGCACACCAAGCAAGTAGGTCCACGAGAGCAGACCAATATGCAGGGGCTAGTCGGAAGGTCGGCGACATGACCGCGATACTATCCGTTGTGTTACAAGCACATCGAATACCGGAAGATGATTAGGGTTAAGATCCGAGCCTGCCCTCCTCGCACACAACCCCGGTGTTTCCACCAAGGCGCACAGACAACATACAGACGACCATTGAGACCATGCTAAGAGGCTCGGGCGTGTGATGACTGCGCAAGTGCGTGAGGTGCGGACGAACCGCATTCCAAATGGAAGACAGACATCGGTAACTGTGGGGGAAGTGACTTGTGGGGTGCTTGCAAGCAAGCGAGAGAAGAAGTTGTGTCCAAAGGGAGCGTTGCGCGACAGTCCCGCCGCGATTGACATGGTCAGACTATGTTGGTGACGCTTACATGGCTCAGGATCCAATCGAGACGCGATGAGAAGTTGTAGCGTTTGAACAAAGATGGACGTCGTGTGGCGATGGGTACGTCGGGGTTGTTGTTGGGTTCATGTCGGCAGGGGCAGGACGAAGACGCGTCGCCTCGCGCCAAGAGATCGCGCCTGCCTCGCGTCGAATTGACGCTAGCACGTGAGACCCATCTTTCTCTGACAAATCAGCAACATCCTTCTCCGCCTGCCCGTTGCCATTTTCCATCGCATCATCTCACGTAACAATAGATAGCAAATTCTTTGAGATCTAGATAACAACGTTGGACTATATAGAGCCTTCGTGGTGGATCTCGCACATTCATCGTGAGCAACACGCTCCGGCAAGACAACCACCACTATACCCACAGCCGCGCTCAGCACATTGCGCCCAGCTTCGCGGCACCGCTAAGCACGATGGGAGCGGTCGAAGATGCAGTGGATGCGGCAGCCAACTTCATCGGCCCATTTGTCGATAAGGACCGCAAATACAGTGCTGACGTGCCTACCGATACTCTCGTCGAGCAAGCGCTCGTCCACCTCCAGGCCATCAACACTGCAGACCTAGCTGCAGATCCAAATGCACCCTACGATGCTTCCCTCGCCGGCGTGGTGTACGGTCTCGTAGATCTCATCACTATTCTGGCAGTGATCCCACGTTTGTCTTCCGGTGTTGCATTCGGTCAACGGCCAAGGTCAGTCCTGACCGCTGTAATCTTCACGCCACCGAACAACAATTTAGAGGCGTTGGCGGCGGTCATCGACGGTTTGCTGCCCATGATGGAGCAGAAGGGCTCAGGTGTACAACCGCTTTTGTCCCAAAGAATCCTCCCGGACATCATTTCTGCAGTGGCTGAGCTATCCTACTCTCCTACGTCGTCTGAGACAGCGAAGTCGAGGTATTCGAAAACATACGAACAGATCATGAAGGATACTCCAACATCACGACTTCTCCCCATCTTGACTACGTTCCTCCAGCAGGCTCTTCCTACCTGGCTCAAACCTGTCATATCTTCCGAGCTCTCGCTAGTACCCCTTCGAATCCAAGGCGTTCGTCATACCATCGAGTTTCTCTCGTTGTCATACTTATCGAAAAATTCTCATGTACCTCAGAGCGCATCAGGTCCTCAATCACAGATACCAATCCCACTAGAGGCTGTTTCGCAAGCTTCGAAGCTACTAGTTCTACCACCGAGCGGGATCAGTCAGGACGAATGGCTCGTGAAGATTTCTCCTCAGCTATTGCATCTCCTAGATGGTAGCGAGGGCAAAGAGCTCAGTCGAGCTGCTGGGCAGATCATCGCTGGTGGCATTCTCAGTAAGAAGACGACTGGCGCACCGGGAACCATGGGATGGGACACGTTTGCGAAGCCCTTGTTCCAAGCAATCTACCCAAAGAATGTCATCGCATCGAAGTCTGAGCAGACCGTTGTATCGGAAGAGGATCTCGAGACGGCGCTCAGAAGACTGAAGACAATTCTTTCATCGTATTCTCATGGCGGACTGATTCGACGTCTCATTCACCCCATCATACTTCCGCTCTGGGCGTTGCTCAACTACGCGAAAGATAGGCCCTCTCTAGACAAAGAATGGAGCATGCTTCCAAGTCTAATTCTTACGCGTTACATGGAGGTTGCCTGCGACACCAAACAGGTTGACAGTATCGCGACGAACCTCTTCTGGGATGGCGATGGTGACTGGACATTCGGGCCAGGATCTCAAGGCGGCGTCGAGATTCGCACTCGCACAAGAGATCAGAGGGGAGGAATAGGAACGATGGAAGGTATCTTCGGACGCATTAGCGACTTGGACAATAGAGTCACTGTTCTCATTACTCTCTTGACAGAAGCCAACATCGCAGACGACACAGCTGGGTCCATCTTTGTGAACGCCACCAAACGGTGGCTCGTACCAGAGAAACCCGTGACTAAGTCGCTCACCGAAGACGATAACGAAGCCGATCCTCTTTCGGCGCTTGTCGATGCGAAATTATCAGAAGCTTTAGCACAGCGATTCCAGGAGCACTTTGCCAGAAGTCCACAGCATATCGTCGATCTCGTCGCACAGCTGATCCAGAACTACGTGAGCGAGCAGAAAACTCGAAAAGACAAGTCAGACAGACTGCGTACATCGAAAAGGGCAATGCTTGACAACATTGTACGGAAACAAGACATGACAAAAGAGAGTGAAGAGGGTGAGGCCGAAGATGAAGACTTGGTGTCGTTCGCATTGAGTATCCTTAACACACTGCTTGCATCGTCGGATCTCAAGAAGACGCCCGCAGTCACCGAGACTCTGCATGCACTTCTTCCATCGCTAGCATACCTTTCGCAACCGCAGTCGTCAACATCGTCTATGATAAGCAACTCCGCCACCACAGCTCTCCACCTTATTGCTCCCACCCCGACAACGCCGTCATCGACACAGAAATCAACAACCGACCCACTGAACGAACATCGCAAAACCTTGAAGACTTGCTTCGCCGAGCTGCAATCACCTGATCCACCAAACCGAACCTGGGCACTGAACACAGTGCATAAGCTCCTCAAGAACCCTACCGCGTTTCCGGCTATTGACGTCCCATCACTCACGCACACGCTTTTGTCAGCTTCACTGGCAGACCCAGAGTCCTACGTCCACTTAGCCGCCATACCCGTCTTTGTCACTTTGGCCACCCGCGCCCCAAAGCCCGTGGTCGGCCTACTGGCCGACGCGTTCATCGACATCGATGAGCGATCACTGAAGCTAGCGCGGGGGAGGCAAACAGACGAAAAAGAGCGGGAGCTGAGAAATGCTCTGGACTTTAGGCTACGGGTCGGAGAAGTGCTGAACAACTTTGTCGGCGAAGACAACTTTTGGGCTTCACCTGAGCATAGCGCGCTACAGCATCGATGCGCAAAGCAGATCACGGAAGCTTGTCTTTCGCTGGCGAGTCGACGTGGTCAACGAACACAGACGTTGTCGGCACGTAACGAACTCGCGGACAGCGAACGGAAGCTTCGAGAGGAAGGCGAAGCTGCTTGGGGTGGACCGATACCCAATGTTCTCGAGCCCGAGGGCGCAGATCCGCAGGTACAAGCGGAGTATGAAGCGCTCCAGAAGATCGTCGGTGGATGGGAGGATACTGGTATCGAAGAAGACGTTCGTATCCGCGCTTCTGCGCTCAGCGTACTGTCTACTGTTATGGAACATCGATTGGACGTTCTGCGTCAGCCTGTTGTCGATGCGACATTGCAGATGGTGTTGTTAGTGCTTGCCATGGAAAGAGAGGAGTCAAAGGCGTTGTTGCGTCGCTCGGCTGTGCTTGTCGTGATGGGCTTGTTGCACGCCATCGACGCAGGGATCGAGAGTGGAAAGGAAAGTGCGGTGGGTCTGAACTTGAAGCAGCAGGAAGAGGTCGAGCGGGTGGTGAAATGGGTTAGAGATGAGGACGCAGACGAGCTCGTAAGAGACCATGCCGCGAACGTCGTGGAAGGTCTCGAAACGATGAGGATGAAGAAGCTGTATAAGATTGGAGATGAAGGCCTAAGGCTGGGACGGGATCTTGGCCTAGAAGGAAACCTCCGAGGCCTCAACGTCCAGCCTCAGACTGCGAATGGGGAGGGTCAGAGGAAGATGGTCATAGAAGAGATCGAATAGCTGGCCGCTTGAATAGTTGATGACATTGTAGCGCCTCACAACCGAAGCTTGGTATCCTGACTTTTACCCATTCCAATTGTGCGCCTATCTGCTCTGTGGTATCTTCGGTGCGCATACTACGTGGAGCGCACCTGCTGCCTTCCTGCTGCGAGCGCATGTGAAACTCGCGCCCAAACAGCTTATGCGCGCTCCTTGTGGGCGCTCGTGTTGCGACGTTCAGTTTGTCTCGCGCATCGTGTGTCTGCCGTCGTAGGCGTCTCAACCGCTCATGGCCGTATCCTTTGTCGCCTTGGGTTCCACCTCTTCGGCCTTTCCGATCCACAGAACATTGTTACACCTTATCAGGACTTGTCCGAGAGTGCCGGAGCTGACGCCGTTTACGAATTCTTCGGTGTTGGAGAGCTGGATGTTCATGTACAGGTCCACCGAGACGAGTCTGCCCTTGTACTCGGTCTCACCCCACTTTAACCTGACGACGATGTCTTTGTCGACTCTGCGCCTATGTTAGCGCGTGTTCTGCGGGTGAGGGTGGTTCGAGAGGTGGAGGCGTGCGACGTACAAGCTTTGGAGCAAAGGACGCGGGTTGAAAGGTGCGACTGCCTGGTGGATGTTAGCTTTACGCGCGACTGGAGAACAGGAGGGATAGCTTACAGCCATGTTTGCGACTCTATCTCAGGGCTTGCTGTCTGGTAGCCGTGAGTTTGGTGGGTATAGCAGTGATAGTCGTGGTGCTACGGCGGTCGTGCCTGCAGCTTTGGAAAGTCATCGGCAAAAGGTAGCGCCGATTGGTCACCGTGCTTCACCGCGGGGAAGCCGCGCAACAGATGGTGGTTCAGGGTGGAAGGTGCATTCGAGGATAACTGAGACTCGCACTGTCCTGTCTTGGGCTCACGTCACAATTATGATCAATCATGCACCTGCCTCCACTGTTCTTCCACACCCATGCCTACCTGCTGTCCACGATGTAGAGCGACGCGACTAGCGGACGCGCTAAGAAATTGTTCCCTCTTCGAATGATCGGACGAGTACAACAATTGCGGAACCCCGACACTACAACCTCCAGTCACACTCGTTCGGCCGCCATACTCCAGCTGGACCTTCATAGCTGCCTATTCTCAGCAGCACCATTGCGCCTACCACGGTGCGCCGCCTCGTCCTTTCGCCGGCGACCCGGTCCTTTGTCGCCCCTCCACTCTTCGCGCAGCATGCCCCGGTAGCAATGCGAGCCATCTGGTCCCGGGCAACGTCGAACCCGGGTACCTGCAGATGCATCTCATGCGTCTCCAACACCGGCGCTCTCGCTAGACGCAGCGGGCAGACGGCTCTTCGTCGCACTCGGGCGATTGGCACACCAACGTCGACCTTCGTATACACGACCATATTCGCTGCGGGGCTGGCTATCGATGCGAGAGCGAAAGCCGCTAGGAACACACAATGGGAAAAGGCCTTTTCGTCACTAGCCGAATCTGCTGGTGACGGGTCCCTAGGAGAGAGAACGAAGGACACAGACACGGCCACTGAATCTGTGACCTTGGGGCATGGATACCATGGCTTGACCTTTGATGATCTGCCGGACGACTTCGACTGGAGCGCATTGGAGCGCATTGTAGGCATGGAATTGGATGAGGATCCCATCTTGGAAAATCAAGAAATCCAGTCGCAAATTCGCGATTACGCTGAGCTGGAAGACCTGCGGTTCGACTCGAGGTTCCCAGGTATGCAGCTTCTGGAGTTCCCAACAAATACCGGTCCTGAGCTTATACGCTACAACTTGCCGCCCCAGTCCTTATGGGCGCCAGACGCACTACGCGTAAACGCCCTACAAAGGCGACACTCGTGGAAGAAGCTGGCCATGCAGGAACTCTCCACCGGTCTCCTTATACACGAACTACTGCACAAAAACAATGTGCCTAGATTCGACAAGGCTTGGGAGGTGGATTCCGACAATTTGTCACAGCAGATCCAGGACGTCATAGCCATGAATGCTGTGGAGCGTGAGCAAGCGCGCCAAAACATTCTAGAGGCTCTTGAAAACCTCCATCAGATTCCTGTTGATAGTCCGCCAGACGTGATTGCCCAAGCTCGAATTCACCCAGATCATCCAGGAATTCCGGAATATTATCAGGACGTGGATGGAGACTTTTACGCTATCACGATCCAAATGAATCAGAGCATCCAAAAGCTGTTTGAAAGCGACGTACACGGTAACGACCGCAAAGAAGCTGTCGTGCTTGCAAAGATCTGTCACAACCTCCTCGTTTCATCGGCCTCACCGGACTTACAGACATTCAACACTTTGCTGGTAGGTTTTCGACAGTGGCGGCGTCGAAACCTCATAGATTGTGTGATACCCGCCCTCAACTACAACAAAATTCGTCCCAACGAGATTACCTGTCGAGAAATACTCAATCACTACGCCTCCCTGAGGCATGGAAACCCTGAAGACTTTTCGAGGTTTGTCGCCAGGATGAGAGGTGTAGGCGACGGACTTATGCTCGCAACTCCCAAAGTCAACGTCAACGAAGCCAGTCATGGCCGGCTCGTGAGGGTGGACGAAAAGAAGGTCTACCAGAAAGTCCACCCAACACCCATGGTGTTTAGTTCCCTCATAACTGGTGTCATGAGATTCGCAGGGTTCGACCGAGCGCTTGATATCTACTATGAGATGAAGGCGGACGGCTGGGGTCTCGACGTTCAAGGTCTGACGAGAATGCTCAACGACTGTCTCCGCCGCGCGGACTGGGAAGGGGGCCTATACATTTGGGGAGAGATTAGCAGCATCAAGGCCAGAGTGAATCATGAAGACATGACCAAAGCATACGGTCAAATGATAGGCTTGTGCTCCATTACCGGCAACACGGTCGCCTTCAACCAGATCCTGGCAGACATCTCTACCGAAGGCTTCGATCGCGAAAAGATCCTCGGTCTCGCCTCCAGAAACGAGCATGTGGCAAAGAAGAAGAAACTGCAGCTCGCTCCCGCTTGGGTTGCAGACAACGTCATGATTGCCGCTTCCGCCTACATCAAGGACACAAGAGACGCGGATGTAAAGGATGCGCTAGAAGGCATAGACGGGGACGATAACACTACATTCATTCAAGGCGAGCCTGACGATTCTGACGCGCATGATGCAGCTGGTTCAACGGAGGACATCGCGGATAATACGGCCGACCCCAAGGAGGTTTGGGCGTCATGGTTGGAGCGGGAGTTTGGAGAAAGACCGAAAGATCCGGAGCCTTGAACGGCTACCATGTGTACAGTACCATGTTTTCCATGTAAACCAGTGTATATACCATAGCCCTACGATGGCGCAACTATCAATTTCATGACACCAATCTGGTTTTGTCCAACCTACCTCCAGCCGCAATAAAAAAAACTCATCTGGCGAAGCCGACACGAACACGACTGACCAGGCCGCCGCCACATTTCAAGGTTTGGCACAATGACGAGCTGCTACCAAACGAACCTTATCGTGTTCCAATTCCGAGGTGTCACCAGACCGTTCCTCTGCCGAGGACTTCTTTGTTTGAGAGCTCGTTTATTTAGATTAAATGCATCCGCAGCCTCATTTATCCTTTTCGCTTCAGCACGTCTGTCACCAACATCACTGTTGCTGCTACTCATCACCAACAAACTCAGCTCGAAAAGGACTTTCGGCACGGGCGGCAGCGGTTTCGTGTTTGTCATGTTTCGTTGTTATTACGAGTTTGGAATGCTTCCCTCCGTTGGTGTGCAAATGTTCGTCCTCTCGTGTCCATTTCTTCCGACAATCTCCTGATCCTTATTCCAAATGACAGAGCTCCTATGACTGGGAGCGTTTGATATATCCACATCTTTGATCTAGCCCAAAAAGGCAGTCGTATCGGGCGATGCTGCATTCCTGTCTAAAGATAGAAAGGCGCACTATGGAGATCATTCCGCAAGCGATGTTGGAACATGGTCACTTTACGGAGCGTTTTCATCGCTGCTCAGTCACCAATCGATCGTAAAGGCACCTTCTCCAGACTTTGCAAGCCGTTGCTCCTAGCCGCTACGATACCTTGTTCGCTGGCCCTCATCCTTAGAGTTTGTCTAGTGCGATGCCAGGAGAGACAATCTAGACGTTTTGTCGAACGACACATTCGACGTTTGTTCTAGACATCTGGAGCATTCCCACAACTTTTCCAGGTTTTTCTAAATAGCCAGGCAACTCTGTTGCACGTACCCTTGCTCCCTTCCTATCGGGGAGATGTTGCATTGACGGTAGATGGCACCTCTGCCGCAACTTTGCGTTTAGTGCGACGAGGCTCCAGGCACTCGGATGTGCAGCGCAACCCTTACTGAGTACTAATCATCGTACGCAGGGATATCTCTGCAGGGAAGCCGTTAGATGCCGAATACGCAGATTAAGGTGTTGGTTGGGCTAGAACGTGTCGTGAAAGTTGAGAGTCCCTGCATTTATACTCTTGTGCAACAGCGAGATTAGCTGCAGCGTGGGTCGTTGTAACAAGTACTGATGTATACTTGAGACGCGATAACGATAACTTAGGAGCAGCATGTCGCCCAGGGCCCGCCGTTATGCTGAGTACTGACACGTTCAAGCATGAGAGGGAAAGAAGTGCATGGAACGAACTGAAAGCCCAACCGTTACAACGACATTCGAAAAGCATTGGCCACTGACTTGGAAAGCTAGTGGATGTCCACCCAATCTCTCTTGTCTGCAACGTCCTTGCTAAGAGTTCAAGGACAGATACCTAGCAGCGCCAGCCCGTGTGGTCCTCTGGAATGTTGTATCTTCACATCACCCCACACTCAATTCCCCAGTCACGCATACCCTTTCATCTGCATATTCGCTTGAGGCTGGCTGGCCCAAACATCTCCTAACCGCAACAGGAAGCAAAGTACTTTACCCAAATTACACGAACCGTATCCAACAGCCTCGAACACCAACTAGCCATCTACCATCTCGGGCAGCTACAGAGTGGCAAAAGTGTGTCTGAACTTTGGTACAAATGATGCGTATAAATGAAGTGGTATGCCGGCTCCGTGTAGATCTCATGTATCTCTTTTGATATATCAACCCCAGACCCTGAGATTCTTACCTTGCAAGCGAGCCCCACCGATTTCTTGTCTTTTACCCAACAATAGTACTCGACGTTAAGAAAGAACAACACGGAAGTAGAGATGCAGTACCGATTCGTATCCGTTCTTGCTGCTGGTGTGTTGGTTGCTGTGAGCAGCGCCGCACCTGTGCCTTCAGCTGAGGTAATACAACTCAGTCATTATCAAAGGTATACAAGCTGACGAAGAACAGGCACAAACCCTCAGCCCCACCAACCCAGACGACATCCAACTCGGCAAGCCCTCGAGCGAGATCATCTGGAGTAAGCGCGACGACGAGCCGACCAACCCAGATGACGTGCAGCTCGGCCCCCCAACCAGCGAGATTATCTGGAGCAAAGACAAGAAACGCGCCGTCACTTGGAGTGAACCCAAAGACACCTTCACCATCAGCAAGCCCAAGACAGTTGTGACATGGAGTACAGCGAAGCGCGACACAGTCACGCAGCCCGACACCATCGATTTGGGAAAGCCTAGCTCCGAGGTCAGCTGGGGTAAGAGGGATGGGACTGACCCTGCTGATACCATTGAGCTTGGTAAGCCAAGCACGATTATCACCTGGGGCAAGGAAAAGCGCCAGACGCTGGGCAATCCGGACTCGGAGACGACGTGGGGCAAGCGCGAGGCGGAGAAGCCGAAGGATAGCTTCAAGCTTGGTAAGGCTACTACGGTAGTTACCTGGTCTTGAGCCTTTCGATCTTTGTATGGTGAGTTTGCTTCAGGTATCCTTGTTGATCTTGTACGCTGACGATTTCGTAGCTCTCACGTAGGATTTTGATGCTGTTCTTGTTGGTAGAGTTTGGAGGTAGATTCCACCGTCGCTACTTCGGCGTGGCTGGTAGCGGAGGTGTAAAACTGTGATATCCGTACGGCTGTGTGCTTCTTTAGTACTTCCAATATACTTATGTTCGATAGCTTTGCTGTTCACGAAATTGATGTGCAGTTTGAACGTGCGCAACTTGTTGCACCGCCGTTTGCAGTCTTTGTTGAGCGTTGCTGTCGTCATTGATGTACATGTGCCTTCGTATTGTGTGTAGATATAGATTACCTCTCCTGACTTGGGCGTGTGACTCGCTCGGTACCGTCATGATGGACTATAGCCACCTCTTCGCATTCCTCTTGTCCTATCAGCTCAACTATACCACGCGTGATGTGCATTGTTCCAAGCTGTGCAAGCTGCCGTATGACTCTTTCTCTTTCCTGCGCAATCTACGCGCGACGTATTTCCCACTCGACGTTCGTGACGCTGACTTCCTCGCCAGCTTTCTCGTCGTAGTCGTACCATTCGCCGTCAGGTAATTCAATACCTGAGAACTTGGTGCCGGACTCGGTGCCTGTCGCAAGAAACTCTCCCTCGGCTATGAATTCGACGAACTCTAGGCCTCTGCAGTCGAACATGAGGATGTTGGTCTTCTTCGGTGGGTCGCTTTGTTCGTAGGAGGTAGGCGCGGCTGTGATGTTCGCTGAGTGTTCTCTCTGTATACCGTGTCAGTGGTTGGAGTAAGGGAAGAGGGGGCAGGGCAGAAAGACCTTACAGTTCTTACACCTCCAGACAAAGTTTGCTTCACCCTTGCTGCCGCTCTGTTCGTTCATCTCGAAGCGATTGACCGAGACAGGGTTGGGGTGTATTTCGCGACATGACGTGCATTGGACTTTGAATGTGTAGAAAAAGGGCGCGTCTTCCGTGTCGTTGGGACGGAGGTCGGTGACGCTGGACGTATCAGTAGGGTAGACACGTGGAGTTGGAGAGATCTACCTACCCGTTCAGCTCTGCTTTCAATGCTAGTGCGAGCACCATGTTGTTTGTGTTGATGTAAGCGTTTGATAGATTCCCGTCGCATCTCGTTGCGCCTCTGGCGATGCGCCCCACCCCCACTGACACGCGAGCTGCTTTCGAGCTAGCACGCAAAGGGTAAGGCCGTGTTACCGTGCATCGCAGCTTTCTTGCGCTCCAAATCTTAATCACGCATTGCGCTGCAAACATACAAGAACGTGTACATTATCGAATTTCCATCTCTTTCGTCTGATAGAGTGTAACTGCATTAACACTCTCACTCCCCGGTTCAACTAGACGAGTCGACGCATCACGACTTCCAAGCCTGGATCTCCCCTTTCCACTTTCAGACGACCATCGAACGCAGTTCCCGCAGGAACTCCTGTACTTGCTACGACCCTTCTTGCACATAGTCAATCTATCAAACGAAATCTTTGCCGGCTACCTTGTCCAGCAGCACCCCATCCTTGGCCACTCCGTTCAATCCTGACCGCTACTTGCTCCTAATCTCCGTCATTTCAACATGGTCAAATTCTACCCATCTCTCAACGAGAACCACATCGACTTCATCTCTAGTCAACCACTGTTTTTCGTGGCCAGTGCGCCATGGGCTGGAGATCACGTCAACATCTCGCCAAAAGGCCATCCGTCAAGAACCTTTTCTGTTCTCGGCCCGAACACCGTCGCCTATCTGGACGCGACCGGCAGCGGTTGTGAGACCATCTCTCACGTCTACGAGAATGGCCGTGTCACCGTAATGTTCTCTTCCTTCGGCCCCTCGCCACAGATTATGCGACTATTCTGCAAAGGAAGGGTAGTCGAAAAGTGGGATCCATACTACGGACAGTTGCGCGCTAAGATGGCGTCAGAGAACGGCGATGAGGTCGATGTCACGGGCGCAAGAGCTATCATCGTGTTGAAGATCCAGAAAGTTCAGACCAGTTGTGGATTCGGTGTGCCTCAGATCGACAGCGGAAAGACTGCAAGCACAGAGGGAGCAGCGGGTGACGCAATTGCCTATGTGGACCACGATCATGAAGACGGCGAAGAGAACGGCTTCAAGCAGCGGGATACGATGGACAACTGGGCGCGAAAGCAGCTCGAAAAGCAAGAGCTCGCTGACTACCAAAAGCAGTTCAACCACCGCTCGCTCGATGGCCTACCGGGTATGATGAGCGCGCGACGATCGCATGACGAGAACATCGCTGTGGAGGATACGAAGGCGTGGTTCAGGAAGGTGAGCAGGCAGCAGGATGCTGTAGCTCTGGGTGTTGGTTTGGGCGTTATATTGATGCTGCTGTTGAGTCTTATTGGTGTACTCAGCATCAAACCGATCTTCTTGCAGCACATACTGAATGCGCAACGAAGGCAATTGGGCTTGCCGGAGGATCATTCGTGGAAGAGCGAGCTTTGAGTGGCTTTGGGCTTGTCATCTCGTCGCATCGCAAAAGCTCAAAGCGGTAATCCAGAGACTCAAATTTTCCAGTAATGGAGAATGGGATACGAATCTATTCTCAGTTCACATCTCCATATTTCATAACCTTCCGAGGCACGGCTGTTTGCCAAGCATGCACCGCCACAGGATTGTGGATTCGGCCTTAGGCGTCCCAGCCGTAACCTCTTTCATCAGCGCTAGTCCTCCGTCCATCCCGTCTCCTAGGTCCGCGCGCTATGATCTTGAATCAATTCCATACTTTACACACATGCACATGTCTCTTTCACAGTTGTAACGCGTATCTCACCATACAATGCGCCTCCTGCACATCGCCGACGATGAACGCCTCAGCCTGGTAGAGTTCATCGAAGATGACATACCACCATACGCTATTCTCTCACATACCTGGGGCCCAGATAGCGAGGAAGTCAGCTATCGCGACATGGTAGATGGAACTGGAGAACAAAAAGAAGGACATCGCAAGATTCGTTACTGCGCGGAGCAGGCTTTGAAAAACAATCTAAGATACTTCTGGGTCGATACATGCTGCAGGTAAGTCGCTCATACCTTTGAAGAGAAATCAACTAACAAGATCGTTGACAGTGAGTGATTAGCCGTTCTTGCTACAAAATAGCTTTCTGGAAGCCGTGCTCTTTTATATCCGCTAACAGCAACATCATCATTTACAGTCGACAAATCCAGCAGCGCAGAGTTAACAGAGTCAATCAATTCCATGTTCCAATACTACCGACAAGCCATCGTCTGCTACGCCTACCTCGAAGACTTCCCCGAAAGCGCAATACTCAAAGGAGGACTATCCCAATGCCGATGGTTCACCAGAGGCTGGACGCTACAGGAACTGCTCGCCCCAGGCATCGTCGAGTTCTACGCTCAAGGATGGAAGTTCGTTGGGACCAAACACGAGCAAGCGGCCGCCATATCCAGGTTCACAAACATACCCGAGGCGGTGTTGACGCACGCGCGGAGAGACATCATAGCTGAGCAATCCGTGTCTGCTCGCATGTCATGGGCTTCGCAACGGAGGACAAAACGGAAAGAAGATATGGCGTACTGCCTTCTTGGTATTTTTGACGTCAACATGCCGTTGATCTACGGCGAGGGTACAAAGGCGTTCCGACGTCTGCAAGAAGAGATCATCAAGCGCGACAACGACCTCAGCATCTTCGCCTGGAACAGCATGTCGGAGTATCACAACAACGACCTCGTTGAGATCTTTGCAAGCTCACCGGCTGCATTTGAGGATGTATTCGCCGCGAGCGTCCACAAACACCAACTAGCCGAGTTCTCCGTCACCAACCGCGGCCTCCTACTTGGCGGCGACTTCGAGATATACGGCTGGTACGGTGAGCGCGGTTACACCGACATTCCGAAACACTACGTCCTCTTGGTCGGGGAATCGAAGAAAGACGACAGTAGTATAGGAATCTTTCTCCGGAAATGCGGTCCCGGGCTGTTTTGCCGCATTGGCGGGCTGCCTTTAGCCAGGCTGCCGAACAAAATCATCACATACTCCGCGCAGGAGCTCATAAAATCAGTCTACCTCTCAACGGATGCCTTCCTTAAACACTCGATTACCCGCCTGGTGTCCTTCCGTCACGATGGCCTGCATATTCCCGTCCAGGAACATCTCCGAATGCGGTCGGTGGCCCCGCTGCATGCATGGGATCATCTGGACAGGACCTTTCTGGTTCCAAAGGCCTGGGACCAGAATGTTAGCCAGTTGGTACTCGCTGCTCAGTTCAGCGTAACGATTGCGGGATACACGGCCGAAATAGTGGTTATCTGTCCAGCTCATAAAGACAAAGCTCCGATAGTATTCCTCGCGAAGGATTATCTTCGCGAGACGAGGTTCTTGTTCGCAGACAAAGCTGGTAAGGAGGGTATTTTCTGGGAAGACTTGGTGAAACTATTACCCAAGCTCCCGTATCTGAACAGCGGGCATGTTTATGTCAAACCCAAGCATGCCTTCAAGATTAGCGTCAGTTTTCAGACGACCACAATCGATACCGATTGTGGCCCGATCAGCGTCAGAAGCCTGACCTCGTCAGTTACATCTGTATAGAATAGACTCGATCTCAGTCAATGCCGACATAGTTAGAGCTCGCCACCAATGATGACACAACGCAGACTTGACTCCGACTGACCACCGTATGCATCTGAACAGCAACCCTGGGGAGCAAATGAGGCTCAGATGCCTGCAAGCCTGGTAGGTGCGAGAACATCCTGCATCGTCATGTTCGCGTCCAAGCCAATGACTACGATGAGCGCAATATCACTCAAGCAACGAGCCTACAAGCAACCCATATCGTGAAAGGAATACGCCACATCCGTGCATTTACTGATCCACAGTATGCGTCCGTTCCGAGGTCAATTTACTGTTTCCGGAAACGCAACTCTGTCACTTTGGCACTCCATCACTGTAGCCACAATTGACTGTTAACGGCCGTTTGTACTCCTGAGACCTGTCGCCTAGATGTGCGCATGTTCGCGGTCGTGGGCTAGGAACTTGTATGCCTCCCCTTCCCGCCTATCGGAAGAAAGGGGTGTACAGTAATACTCGTGGCTTGATTGGTGCGCGTGTTTAGAAGAGTGGAGGTAGCCCCACACCCCGCAACACCAAGACCGGCGTTTCTCGTCACTCCCAGCAACCTTGGAACGCTTCTATTGCGCGCAGCTGCCTTCCGGCTATGTTTCTGAAGACATCAGTTGGCTTTGTTAGAGCTCACAGGCATCGTTGTAACGTTCGCTCTCGTGTCTAGCATCCACATGCTAATAGCGATTAAGATGTAAAGGCCCAGAGCAACTTGAGAAGAGCGCGATGGCCGAGCACGGCTACTACCCCATGCTCATCCATGCTCGATAAGCCCGTACTCTACGAGTCGCCCGTACAACACCATGTCTAATCAGTCGCGCTACAGACCGGGCCGGTGCAATGCTTATCTGGAGCAAACAAGGGGCACCATTTCCTAATCACCTTGCCGGCCGATAGTCCCTAGCATGCAAGAGTTCTACATAAAATAGAAGCGTATCATCAACGGTGTTCAGCAAGAGTTCTGTGATGGATTACTCGCAGACTAAAGACACCAAAGACGCCAAAGTGAAGGACACGGAGAATGACGGTGGTGAGGACATCGCGATCGGATCGCAGGAAGAAGTTACCGATTACGACTTTCTGCGATCTTGGAAATGGTCGACTTTCTACCGGAGCGTGCTATTCCAGATGGTGATGTTCGGAGCGTGAGTAATCCTCCCAGAGACTACCATCCGGATGCTGAACATGATTAAGGCTTTCCTTGGTTGGCCCAGCCATGGGTGATGCTATATCCAATCTAGGAGGAGGCGGTTTGTCAACGCCATGGCTAGCGAATCTTGCAACCTCGTTGAGTTACGCCATGAGCTTCATCAGTACTATCCTCGGAGGCCCCATCATCAATAGGATCGGGATCAAATGGGCGTGCTTCATTGCGGCTCTCACAATGCCCCTCCAAGGATCTGCGTACTATGTAAATGCTAGATTCGGCGTCGACTGGTACCTCATAGCAGCCAATGTACGATCATAACTCATTCATACAAAAGAAACATACTGATGGGGCCAGGTTATCAACGGTCTAGCGGGTGGGCTTCTTTACGTCGGCGAAACGACAGCCATGTTATGCTACCCAAGGCCAGAAGAGAGGGGGTTATACCTTGGTAAGCACCTGTGTGCGACGTGGAGTATGATCATTTCACTAATCTCTGACAGGCATCTGGTCGGCTATGCGAAGCTCCGGAAGCTTGATCGGTGGTGCGATAAACTTTTCCACGAACTCAGACAGAGCCTCTGCTGGAGGCATTGCATGGGCGACATATCTGGTCTTTGTCGGATTCGGTACGTGACGGATACTAGGCATCTGCTCTGAATGCACAGTTACTAACCAATAGCAGAATGCACTGGAGTTCTTTGGGCGCTGTCACTGTCCCCCACACCCCGAGTGCGTCGTCGCGATGGCAGCAAGGTTCCCATGTCGGGGAGGGTTACTTGGACGCAAGAATTTGTTGCTCTGTGGAGTACTCTACAAAGCAACAAGGTCTGGTTGATCTTCCTGCCCGCGTTCTATTCTTTCTTTTACGGAGGGACGATGGGTACCTATCTCTCGCTACACTTCTCGGTCCGCGCTCGCGCTCTTTCATCTTTTCTTCTCCGTAAGTATGGATCTTGGGACCGCTGACTACATGCTGACTAGTACAGCCGCCATTACTATTCCGTCGGTCGTCATATTCGGCAAGCTTCTAGACAGCCAGCGGTGGCCCCAGCGGCCCAAGGCATGGGTTGCATTCTCGCTGTGGATCCTGCCACAAACCGGTTGTTTCATCTGGGTCGCTTTCGAGTACCACTACCTCGGCAATAAAACGGCGCTGGATTACGGATCGTGAGTTATCCAACCGAGGCAGGCCCCAGTGCGACTGAGACTGACTTCAACGACAGAGAAACTGGCAGATGGGCAAGGGCATACGTACCATACCTTGTCATCTTCACGAGCGGCTACTGGACGCAGTTGACACTATACTGGATTCTCGGCACGTTCTCCAACGACATGGGTGATTCTTCACGGGTGGCAGGCTTGTTTCGCGCGTTTGAGACGGCGGGCCAGGCAGTTTCCTATGGTCTGAGCTCTGCGAGTGGCATCTCTCCTGTGGTCCCGATCTATGTGAACTGTGGTTTGCTGGTTCTAACTGTGCCTAGTATGGTCATGTTAATCACTAGGATGCCTAGGAGGCCGTTGAGTAACGTCACCAGTGAATGAAGTTTGTATCGTGTGTGATGGCTCTCAAGAGAAGGATTGCAGACGCATGTGCCGCGAGCTGGAATTCGGGGAAACGTCTTCGGGGCCCCGCCGTGGATAGCAATCATCAAGTCGTTCAAATCATCTATCATGACACAAGTTGTGCCTTCACTGTAAACTTGTATTCTGCCAATCGAACTGTTTTCCTATAGCTGTTCACATCACTCCTTCTCTAGCACACGAGCAGCCATTGCTGATGGATATTGTCCAGCAGAATTGCTCGATCATCTCGCATCTGATGCAGCACTGTTGGCGAAAGATAAGACCGGAGGGCTTTTCCAACACTGTCCATGCTATCACACGGAAAGAAAGCTTCCAAACCGGAATGTGCTGCTCTAAACGGGTGTTTGCTTGCTGGGCGGCAAGTTCAACTGGGTCCTTATCGGTGACCGGACCGGCGACCGGCCCGGTCGCAATTGCCTAATGATCACCGCCTTGCGCAGCCACTTGGAACCAAGGACCAACGTTATGGGCTTACGCATCCTATCTGTCTGACTAAAGTACGCAAGTTTACGGGTTGAGTACAGTAGAAACGATCCTGCCCTTTGAATGACTAAGCGTGAGTACCTACATAGCCCACCTTACACTGGGGAGAACTCCGTAGAACTACCACCAATACATGCATACGATTCACAGCCTACTTCTCCAAAATGTCTTTTTCTGGTCCCAGCGCCAAACCATTCCCGGTGGCTGATGCTGTTCCCTCCTATTGGAGAAAACAAGTTGGGCCCATCGACAACCATCGCAGTACTGAATATCTTCCCACGCAGGCCGATGTTGTAATCGTTGGCGCAGGTTATGCTGGGGCATCGATCGTGCATCACATAGTCGAAGAGTGTGCGCGTCGCGACCGCCCAATACCATCAATACTCATCCTTGAGGCACGTGAGGCCTGCTCTGGCGCTACCGGACGTAACGGTACATACCATATGCCCTTGAGATTCCATTTCAATGTCGCAGGTACTAAATCTGAAAATCTAGGCGGTCATTTAAAACCAGACCCTTTGTCAAGAGCGGCCAGCGTATTGGAGACGCATGGGAGAGCGGTCGCGGAGCACGTGGCTACATTCGAGGCTCGCCAAGTCGACGCGATCAAAGAACTTGTTCAGCGTGAAAATTGTGACTGCGACTTCGAAGAGACCAGGGTCACAGATGTCTGCTTTTATGAAGCTGGTCGCGATAAGATCGCAGCTGACATTGCGAAAATCGCTAAAGCGGATATCTCAACTGCGAAAGGGATAGACTTTACTTCAGGCAACGAAGCAGAAGAGGTATGTAGTGCTTGGAGATGAGCTTCTTGATATGGTTCATCGGGTTGTTTCTTTGGAGAGGTCTGACTAAGCCTATAGGTTTCCGGCGTTTGGGGGGCAAAGTCTTGCCATACATATAGTGCCGCTCGTCTGTGGCCCTACCGACTTGTGGCGCACTTGCTAGAGAAAGCGGTATCTATGGGTGTTAACTTGCAAACACATACCTCAGTAATATCCGTCTCGGCAGCCGATGGAGGCGGAAAAGATCATGAATGGGTCGTGAATACACCGCGCGGCTCCGTCAAGACCAGCACTATCGTTTATGCTACGAACGGCTACACGTCTGCTCTCGTACCGGAGATGAAGGACAAAGTCGTCCCAGTGAGAGGGATAGTAGCGCGCTTGGCGGGCGAGAATGCACCAAGAATGACTGATAGCTATATGATGCGGTTTTCCGACTATGAGTACGACTACATGATTCCTCGACCGGACGGTAGTATCATTGTCGGGGGCGGAAGGCGCGACTACTACAAAGACTTAGACGAATGGTTTGATGTATCCGACGACAGCAGACTGATGGATGGCGCGCGGCATTACTTTGACGGTTACATGCAACGGCATTTCCGCGGGTGGGAGAACAGCGGTGCCCAAACAGAAGACCTCTGGACCGGTAGTAAGTGTCTTGTCTGCTCCAGCCCACCTGGGCACAATTGAATATCTCAAAACTGACTCATCTTCTTCCATGTTAGTTATGGGCTATTCCAACGACGGATTCCCTTATGTTGGGCCAGTTTGCGATAAACCGGGTCAGTATATGTGCGCAGGATTTAGCGGGCACGGTATGCCGCAGATCTTCTTCTGTGCAAAGGCCATTGCTTCCATGGTAATCACGGGCGATGCAGAAGATGTGGATCTTCCTGTGCCGTACCGCATCACCAGGAGTAGATGGTACCAGCAAAAAGAACATGTGTCTCTGAAGATGTGGCAACAGATTGCCGAAACCCAGCCTGCTCAAGCACGGTTGTGACCATGAGATAGAACGAAGAGTTGGGTCCTGCATTGTCTACTTTTGCAATGCGAAGATTGACCTGCCAACTTTCACACGCACTCTGTTGGCGAAAAGAGTTAATTAACGCCATGCATCGCTCATACATTCATGATCCTAGCATGTGCAAAACGTCACTTCGGTAGCCATGCAAGGCTCTCAAAGAACTCCCTCTCTGTGTTACCATGGTCACCAAAGTCCGAAGTAAAGAACGCCTCGCTTCCATCCGAGTTGAGTAGATCAAAATCGAACGGATAGCCATCGAGGGATGGATAGCTCGGCATGCTATCCACTGTTGCATCGGCTCTGTCCGGTGTCATCCTCGGGCCTTGCGCTGTTGCTGCCTGTACATTTGCATGTTCGGATGCTGAAGGCCCAAAACGAGGATTCGTGGACCTTTCCGCTTTCTTATACCAGTTAAGAAGACCGTTATAGCCCTCTTCAGCTGAATCATTCGCTTCCGTGACCGCAGGTTGACTGGGTAATGGATTGAAGACGTGAAGTCGATGCAGCGCTGCTTCCAGTGTCTCTAGGAGTGACACTTCTGAACGCGCGGAATCGCCCGCCGAAGCCATTTCTCTGATCGCTTGAAGACCTACTTGTAGGGTATTTGCGAACTCGTTCGTACGGTAACACATGCTATAGGCGATCAAGACCAGCAGGGATGCGCGACAGGAACTATACTCGGCATATGACGACTTTGCAAGGCCCATGTCGCCCGTCTGCATGATTTGGCATGTGCTGATAACTTCCTTCGCAGCTGCAACGCAGTCCTGGACCAAGAAGTCCCACTGTGAGTGGGACTCGGATGCTTTCCTTCGGCGGACTTCTGGGGATGCGGCATTGGCGTCCTTGGACTGTACGTTGGTTCGCGCGTGACGGTGCGCGAGGATGAAGGGTCGTCCAATGAACATGTGCAATAGGCAGCACTCCAGTCGAGAGTGAATCAATGCGCGGGATTTTGGTAACTCTGCTTCGTGGTTCGCGGTTGGCGATAATGCACCCCCAGGAGGCGACCAGGGCCCTCGTAGGTTCGCCTTCATGTGCTTGATACGGTCCAAAATCACCCCGACTTCAGCGTTCGCACACGTTCGGAGACGCGATCTAGCAAAACATAGTCAGTTTATTACCTTCTATTTCCGTGTATAGAGGAAGTCTTGGTCTAGACTTACATTTCGTGATGGAATGCTTCAGCCTGCCTGGTGAGCTCGATTGATTCCAGGAGACCTTGAGGATCGAAACGGTCATCATCCATGAGATGTACTTCAGATCTCTGAGGCAGATCTGCATCGATATCGGATCGCACTATAGATATTGGGCGGCCGTGGTATATACCAATTTTTCTATTAGGTCAGACTTGTGAGTAAGAGGACGAGGTGGGATCGGAGTCAAGAACCAACAAACCTTTCCATGCAGTACACTGTCCACCAAATGCGACGCCTTATTTCTTTGGTTCTCGCATCGAGGACGTTACGCGAGACCTTTCGATGCATTCCGTTTTGTATGGCCACCTTGATAGCCAAGTTTAAATAGATGTAACTCAGCCCAGATGCATCAATGGGTAAGGAGTATAGGCCGAGAAGCAAAAGTGCCTGGACGCTGAGTAGCGAGCCAGCGTGGATGACTTCCGAAAGAAGCTTTGCCACCTGACGGTAAAAGCCGGATCCAATCTCGAGCTCCCAACTACTCTGAACTTCGAAGTTCGTTGCAACACCCGTGCTGTGAGTCTTGTGGCGATCGGGCGATTCTAAATGGACATATTGGGTTCCAACTGCCAGCACCATCAGTACTACACATATTGCAGTAACGTCTTTCGAGCGCAGTGAGACGGGGTTAGTATATACGTTGTCTAGGATGTCGTCAAACCAGCGTCGGTCTACATAGTAGTAGACGCTGGTGGCATGTTTGAAGAAGACATTGGTCAAGAATGTGGCAACCGGACGGGGTGGCATAACGGCAAGGACGTCCGAGATGGAAGTCGAGGCTGGATCTGCCTCGCCGACGCGAATGAAATCTGGCACCCGCGTTACGTTTTCCGAGTTCTGACAGAGATGGTGAGCAAACAGGAATAGACTAGGCTAGCAGTACGTACCTGCACATTGGCTTTGGCCATAAGATCGTCTATATTGCGTTTGATGTGCATGGAAAAGTTCCAATGAGAGAACTCGCCTGAGTAATCTGCACAGCGACAAAAGCTCTCGTCAGTGTACATGAGGGATTACGAGTGAGTTTACGAAGCACATACGGACTGTCGTGCCATCCACGCGGTCAATGGTACAATCCTCGTCTCCAATATCAGGGCTGTCAGAGACTTGGGCATTCACCGACAGCTCGATAGACTCGGGTACGATCGCATTCTGGTCGCGTGGTGGAGTGGGCGAAGACAGGGAATCGCACGTGCGTTGTAGAGAGACGATATCCAGGGCGAGGTTGGGGAAATGGTGTTTGACTATGAATTCCATGCATCGCATGCGGTCCATCAGCTCATTGGGCGAGGCGGGAAGACCCGGTCCTCGCTTGTCCACTGCAGCAGGTGCAACATTGTATCTACACGGTCGGCGCAGATGGCGGCAGCGTCTACAAGGTGTCCCATCCTCACATTTCTCTTTGAGACGGCGACACTCATCACACCTATGCGATGCTTGTCAGCCAAGACTCTACCTCGCGTTCTTCGGCGAGACAGTGGTGGGTCTTACGCGCGAACTGCTCGTTGTCGCTCTTCTGCCGCTAGATGACGCTTCTTGGTGGGTCTTGGAGGCTCGACGTCCATAGCTCAAGCTGACTAGGTATGAGCTGAAGTGATTGAGTTGGCGGAAGGGTTTTTAGCATACGTCGTGAGTTTACAGCTGTCAACGACGCCCCCTCACTGAAGCGCGAGCGATAAGACAGCCGAATGACGCGCAATGCAGCGACGTTGAAGCCGTCCAGCCTCCTGCAGGAACGCTCCGCACAAAGCTTGTCCGCTATCGGTTAGTAGTAAGCCCGGCTTATCACAGACGGCGATACCCGCATCCTCACAAAAGATAATGGCGAACCTCGGGCAAAATGCTGGAAGCGGGGAAAGAGCTGGTGGAAATGAACATTCTTTACTAATGTCGTTACGGGCTCGAATAGACGCAGTAGTAGTACTAATGTCATTGAGACTTCTCTACAATCTGCTTCGCCATCTCCATGAGACCTCCAGCCACCACCTCCAATTTCACATCACTAAAAACGTCGAGACAAGCTTCCTTCTCGTACACGGAGCTCCATGCTCCACGGAAACCGACTTTGGTGGCCGCTGCGACATCCCACATGTGCGCGGCAGCGAACCATTTCACGTCGTTTCCTCCAAATCGATTCCATACAGACTCATAGGCGCGGATAGCGGGTTTAGCCACGCCTAAGTTGTCGCAACTGACGAAATTCTCCAGCGGCATGTCTACACCGGCGCGCTCGAAATAGCCTCTGACTCGTTGCACATCCCCGGTGGTGAAGCACCAGACGGTAAAGCCGTTGTCGCGCAGCAGCTGGAATGTCTCCCGACAGCCAGGTCGCAGCTGTAAAGCGGAATAGCCTTCGATGCACTGTTCACGCTCCTCTTCGGTGGCTACAGCCCGAGGATCGGCGATGCCACAAAGACTAAGGGTACGGTAGAATAGTCCCCGGAGAACATCCTTATAAGGCTTGTAGCTTTCGGAGATGGACAAGAAGGTGAATTCCAGCTCAGCAGCTGTCTGCCAGGTGTATCCGAAGTGTTGCGCGGTCATGTGGTGAGGGCGAAGTTTTGCACCCAAGACTGAGTCTATGCGTTCGTAGTAGGCGTCGAACGATACGCAGGTGCCGACGACGTCGAACACGACATGCTTGAGAGGCTGTGTCATTTTGACTGTCGGTGTGGTGTGTGGTGACCAAAATCAAGGAGCTCGACAGCGGTTGATGCAAGATATGTCGACTTGGCATAAGGAGTAAAAGGCCTGTGGAGAACAGGCCCCTGCGTCATGCCCAGTACTCTCATGTTTAGCACTCGTGAGTACCTAGGTAACGTGCCAGTGGATGATAGAAGGCCGGCCCGGTCAACGTGACTGCCGCAGCGCTCGGACCAGGTGGTTATCGATCGCGACCGGATCGCGACCGGTTCGCTTACCCGGTTCTGCCACTGACACACAGGTACCTAGGTACGATAACGATGAGCAACAGTTTCAGCAGATTCCGGACCGGTGTCATTGTCTCTCGAGCTCGAACTTTCTAGATCGAAGTTGTAAGCTCGATGGCCGGGCTAATTACGGTACCCGGTCGATTTGCGAAATAGCGGTGATGGAGCACAGGTATGAAAGCGTGTACTATGTGGCTTGCCATGCGAAACATGCTCTCTGTCCGCCTGTAGAAAGTAGTCAGTCATTCTCAATTCCTCAACATGGTTTTACCAACTGCCAACCCTACCAAATCCTATTGGATCGAGGCTGCAAAATCGCCGTTGCGCAACTTCCGCTCCAGCGAGGCGTTGCCAGAAGAGACCGATGTGGCAATAATCGGCGGTGGTTACGCCGGCGCATCGACAGCTTACTGGATCAACAAAGTTCGTGACAGCACCAACATGAGTTGTCCGCTCATTAAGTCTGACGCATGATTAGTACACAGAGAGTGCTTCCAGGCAGCCTCATGTGACTCTCCTAGAAGCTCGTGACATTTGCGGAGGTGCCACCGGACGCAATGGTAATGGCACTTGCACCTTGCCCCTTGAAGCAATACCTAACAACAAACAGGAGGACAATTGAGGCCACATGCGTATTCTCGCTATGCGAAATGGTCGAAACGATTTGGCCCCCAGGGTGCCATGGAGCTCATCGAACATGAGATGGCTCATTTGCCGGCATTTAAGAAACTAACGGAGGAAGAAAACATCGCGGAAGAGGTCTGTCTCAAGTTCGGAGAAACGTTCGATGCGGCCATGACCGATGAGGCCTGGACGAGGCTCAAGGGCGCACTTGACGCCATGCGGA